GGAAGTGACACACTATTGATTGTTAAGATAGAAACTTAACACCCTCTAAAATGTTCAAAACCCAGCAGGCCTGCCCATGTTAAATATAGGCCCACTCTCACATACAAAGCAGTAATATAATGGTACAAGCCCAGCTCACCTGCTTCAGGTGGTCGCTCACTCCACACACTGTCTGCAGCTCTGTCCAGCCTCCCTGTGAGACACAGAAGGACATCAGATCATAAGACAGCTGACAAACCCAGACGGTAAGAAAGCTATAAAAAGTCTGCATCAGTTAGACAGAGACACATACCTTAACAGGCAATTAGCAGTGAAATCACACATTACAGAGCCACCTTCCACTTACATGATATGTGTTCGAGTAATTATGGAATATTTTCTCTTTTTTTAGATACACTTATTCACTTTCTTACTGAAGGTTAGACGAGAAGATCAATACAAGTGTTAGACCTAAATATAAAACTACTGCCAGCATCCAGTTTGCTTAGCTTAGCATAAAGACTGCAGATAGAGAAAAAACTAGACTTGCTGTGTACAAATGGAAAAAAAAAACGAATAAAAAAAAAAAAGACTAAACATATCTACCAACTAGCACCTCTCAACTTTGGCAGTTAATATTTTATTTGTTTAATGTATACAAAAACTAGCATTTTTATCAAGATGAAGTAACACCAGAGAGACCAAAGACACTTTTTGTAAGACATCTCTACAGTCTGGCCTTCAGTGGAGGCTTTTAAACTAAACACAGTAACCAAGGAGCAGACCTGAAGTCCTCATCTGGTACACAGAGAAATCTTCCACTTTGTGCACAATAGGTTGTTCAATCAGCAAAGGCTGCACAATATGTTCTGGCAAAAATAACTTCCCAGTGGGTAATGTAATCTCACACTCAGTTCAACCAAGGCTTATGTGATTAATTTCCTCTGCCTGCTGCATGCATTCAACCTTGCCTGGCCCGAAACAAAATAAGCCCCACCCTTTATCAGCTCTGATCCCCACCCCCCCCAACCTGCTCTATGCCGACATAGGAAGGTTCTTGCAGACTCCATTGTTTCAGATTTTCAAGGAAGTCTCTGTTGTGTGTTCCTTTTTAGGAAATGAATCAGCTTTATATTATGCTGGTATTCTTGTCATGGACCTGTGCTTAGTATGGTTGCACTATCCAGCACATAAGAGAACACTGATGCTTGATAATAATATACAAGTTCTTGGACTAAACTTTTTTCATTGTAAAAGTTTTTACCATATATGTATGAACTTAGCCTCAGATACAGTAGCAGGAGCAAAATGAATGGTTCTGACACACTTCTAAATCAAACTGTCTTTATTCTAAAAGCGTCTCATTCAGCCAGTCTAGGGATCAACCAAAAATATATACACACATTTCCTGTGATGGTGAAAAAAAGTATATACAAATCAATCACCAAGTCTATATTAAACATGCACATGGGACAAATAGTAAATAAAGGCCATAGAACCACACATAGTAGATGAAGAACAAAGGACACAAACAGTCATGTTAAGTATAAAATCAAAGGCCATCTAGAAGGAGGAGGGGAGAGGGAGCAGCGGGTCCTGGTTTAAATCTCGCCCTAAAAACACCCCTCCTTTTCACAGAGAAAAGTCATCAGAGTTGGTGACACAAACATGATGACTGCCTCTTTTGTTCCTTCCCATCTTTGCTCTCAAAGTCTTTTCTTAGAATGTTTGTTAACAATTGAATTCAAGTCCCTCCCACTGCAAGGCATCTCTATACTGTGGCTGGGATACTGTAGCTGCTCCTGTTGCTGATGTCAGCGGGAAGCGACGCCACGCTATCTCGCGTCCCATTGGTCGCTCTCCCCTCCATGCCATCATAGAGTGGCGCTGCGTCTGGAACAAGATGATAATGGGCGCTCTAAGAAGTTTGCAACAACTGGCAAGCAACACCAAGTGATTTAATGACTTAAGCAGCTTCTTCCTGTGTAAACACAGCTTGTACCTTGGAGAGTTCACTTCCTACAACAACTGTATTCTAACAACATCCTACTGTTGCTGCCTCTGCAGTACCTACTTAAACACAAACACAATGTACTGTACATGCAAAAACGTCAGGGCCAGGCAAAGACAATAAGTTAAAACTTACACACACTGTGCATGCACATAAACTTGAACAGGATCTCTACAGCAACATAGACAAAGGTAGACAGGTCACCACAAATGAGCCCAGTGTGCATATTAGATAATGGATTGTGGGGGTGATGCTACAACAAAAGATACAGTAACACTTTATTTTACAGGTCTGTAATATCCAGTTTATTGTCAGATAATTTCCTAAGATGTCGCCTGGAAAGAACCATATAATTTGGCACTAAAGTTAGCTAAAATTAGAGGGTGATCAGTTGGTACATGTCCAGTAATTTCAAAGTGCAAAGCTAGCAGAAACCTGGGGCTCTTAGTCAAAGAACAGAAGATGAGCTACACATGCAAAGAATGAACTTTGCCTACTAACAACCATAAAATTCAGCACAAATGATAATAATAACCAATAATAAACTCAAAACAACTCAATGAACTAACTGAAAAACTGTCTCAGAACTGTCTGTGTTTTGGAATTTGTACCAAAATACATGGTAAATGGTCTTATATAACCCTTTTCTACGCATTGATTTACACTACTTCAAATTCAGCCATTGGCACACACAAACGCTCACACATTCACACACCAGTGTCATCACCAGGAGCAACTTAGGGTTCAGTGTCTTGCTCAAGGACACTTCAACACGTTGACTGGAGAAGCCAGGGATCAAAATGCTGACCCTCTGGTTAGGTGACAACCTGCTCTAACTCCAGAGCCACAGCCGTCCCCCTCTCATGTTTCTTTCCAGGAAACATTCAAAAACTATTAAGAACCTGTAAATCGGTGGCAGTAAAATAAAGTGTTACCCTACATGAAGCATGCTGCGTCTACTGAGATGTGGGGAATGACTGCTAGCTGTTATGACAATGACTGACGTGGACATTCACTGGAACACGGGAGAAAAGTAAAACCAAGCTACCTGTGGCTGCCTTATAAACCTCTGTGTTGTGGGTTAGATTCACTGTTAGAGAGTCATCTGATTTAGGGCTTGAAGGCTTTCTGAGAAACGGTGAAAACAAAGTCATATCGGGCAGTGGTGGTCAAGAAAACATCTAGTCACTGCCAAAATTATCAGAAGCAAAACAAAGCTAAAAATAAATGAAAAATATACTGTAAAGTCTGATCCAAGCTAATAATATGCTTCAGCAACCATACTGGTGGTTTCATACACTGAATATTAACATGGCACAGCTCTAGTGGTAGCCAGGTGTAGCAGCTCGTTTTAAAAGATAACTTCATTTTTTTTTTTTTTTAATTAACTGCTCTATTTCCCCTAATAGTGAATATGATAACTCTCTAGCTAGTGCTAATTTTACTATCACTGCCTCTGTTGTAGAGATAACAAAATATTACTGGGGCAAACACTTTACACCACATGATCAAAATATATTAGAGGTAATGGTCCTAGTCTCATCTTTGATTTTCTTTTTAAGTGTCTATAATAAATATTTTTCCTGCTTTATATTTATTTTTGTTTCATACTAAATTATTTTTGTGATTTATGTGGGCTTGCTTATAGCCCCCCAGCTTAGCCGCCATGTGTTGGAGTTTACCCCGGTGAACGAGAGGGTCGTTTCCCTGCGCCTTCAGGTCGAGGATAGGTCTCTGCCATTTGTGCCTATGGGTCAAATGGCAGTGCAGAGTACCTGGCCTTCTTGGAGTCTCTGGCAGGGGTGCTGGAAAGTGCTCCAACTGGGGACTCCGTTGTTCTACTGGGGGACTTCAACACTCATGTGGGCGACGACAGTGATACCTGGAGGGGCGTGACTGGGAGGAACGCCCCCCCCCCAATCTGAACCCGAGCGGTGTTGTGTTACTGGACTTCTGTGCTAGTCACAGTTTGTCCATAACAAACACCATGTTCAAGCATAAGGGTGTCCACCAGTGCATGTGGCACCAGGACACCCTAGGCTGGAGGTCGATGATCAACTTTGTGGTTGTTTCATCTGACCTCCGGCCGTATGTCTTGGACACTCGGGTGAAGACTCGTCAGACCCAAACGTATTGTCAGGGTCTGTCGGTAACATTTGGCAGAACCCCCTGTCCGGGAGATCTTCAACTTCCCCCTCCGGCAGAGCTTCGGCCAGATCCCAAAGGAGACTGGAGACACTGAGTCCGAATGGACCATGTTCTCCACCTCCATTGCCAGTGTGGCCACTCGGGGACGTGGCCA